ATGGGACTGTGCAGAGGAGCCAGTGACTCAAGCAAGGCCACCACGTGGCTAAGTGGTTAGTGGTATAGACAGACGGGGTGAGGAGTAGAGACACTCCCCGGACGCTATCACTGGAGAGCCACCAGGTAGAGAGGAGAGATGCTTTGGAAGAGCAAGCAGTTCACTAAAACTTGAGGAAAGGAACCCAACTCAAAACTGGAGAGTTTGCAGCGTGAACTCCGGGAGCCAGCCTGCCTAGGTCTGAGTCTGGACTCTGTTACTTACTAGCTATATAAGGACAAGGGATTGCTTAGCCTCTCTGACCTCCACTAGGTGAGAAAAATGCCATACCCCTTGCTATGAGGGAAAAATACTGGTTTTTGCAAAATGCTTAAACTCTTACTGCATAGACATGGTCTGAGTTGGCTGTGACCACACCCTGCTTTGTAGCTGACCCCGCAAGGGTCATGTGGACTGTGACTTTCCACCCAGGCCAGCACATGAAAGTATGTGGCTCCCTACTTTAATTAAAACTTCTTAGAGTGAGCCCACAGTGCCTTGGCCTCAGTGGACCCCATCATCCCCTCAAGAATCAGGCAGAGAGGACTCCCTAGTGGAGAAGCAGGGACCCTTTGGTTCAAATGAAGCTGAATTTGCTTCTGTTGGTCATTCATGCCAAGTTCACCAGCAACACTCACCAGAATGGCATTTTCCATCCTGGTGTTTTAACAAAGTTGTCCAACAAGCTGATCAAAGCTGTGTCCGGATGAAAGGGGGCTCTGTGGTCAGAAGAGTTTGGGCAATGCTGCCCTGTTTCATCCTGCTTTGAGGGAGTCACAAAGTGAATTTATGAGCATGGGTGAGGAAAGGGACCTACTTAATTTTGCTGAGCCCAGCTGTTTGCCAAGTTGTCTTGAACACAGAATTAGTTTCTCTTACCACTCCTGTCGCCTGCCTTTGGACCAGGGTGCCATGAAACGATAGTTTGGGAACCATTGTCTCATCTGCTTATTCTGGGGAGTCTCTTGTATAAAGAGCACTGTGGTCCCTTACTTTAAATTGCCCCACTTTCAGGGCCAATTTAAGTGGCACCTAATTGCCTGGACACTTGCAGTTCCACCCCCCTCCCCTGACACACCAAACCACTAAAGGGCAGAGAGCAGGTTCCCCTTGAGGAGGGCAGTCTGAGGGGGACTAGACCAAGGCTCGGGGACTCAGGATGACTGGTTCCTAGAATCAGTACCCACCCACTTTTATGAGCAGGCCTGCTCTGACTTAATGACCTATGCCTCCATGCCAACTCTGCATTTAATAGTCACGTAACTTCATAAACACCTCTAAGCCTCAGTTTCTCTCAGCTGTAAAATGGGGATGATTACAGTACCTAGTCCTGTGATGACACATTTCTGTGAAGCATTGGATAATGTGGGAAATTGCATTCTTGTTCCCCTGCAGGAGCAGCCAGCCCTTGCGTCCACCATGAACTGGAGCGTCTTTGAGGGGCTCCTAAGTGGGGTCAACAAGTACTCCACAGCCTTTGGCCGCATATGGCTGTCCCTAGTCTTTGTCTTCCGAGTGCTGGTGTACCTGGTGACAGTTGAGCGTGTGTGGGGTGAAGACCAGAAGGATTTTGACTGCAACACCAGGCAGCCAGGCTGTACTAACGTCTGCTTTGACGAGTTCTTCCCCGTGTCTCATGTGCGCCTCTGGGCTTTGCAGCTCATCCTGGTCACATGTCCCTCCCTGCTTGTGGTCATGCATGTGGCCTATCGCAAGGCTCGAGAGAAGAGGTACCAAGAAGAAGTTGGCAAGGGACACCTTTACCTGTACCCTGGCAAGAAGCGGGGTGGACTCTGGTGGACATATGTCTGCAGCCTGTTATTCAAGGCCGGCATAGATATTGTCTTCCTCTACGTATTCCATGTGTTCTACCCCAAATATACCCTCCCTTCTGTGGTCAAGTGCCATGCGACACCGTGCCCCAACATAGTGGACTGCTTCATCTCTAAGCCCTCGGAGAAAAACATCTTCATCATCTTCATGCTGATCACTGCCATCATCTGCATTCTGCTTAACCTTGTGGAGCTAGCCTACCTGGTGATTAAGCGGTGTTCTGAGTGCATGGAATCGAGGCGAGCGCTCACTGCACACCCAGAGCATGACCCAAACTGGGTCAACTCTTCCAGCAAACAGAAGGACCTCCTAGCCGGAGACCTCATCTTTCTGGGCTCTGACACTCACCCACCTCTCTTACCAGACCACCCCCGAGCCCACGTGAAGAAAACCATCCTGTGAAGGGTCTCTAGGCTGGACTAGCAGGGTGAGCATGAATTGGAAGGTTCCAGTGTTTCTCAAGAATGTATCTGGTGGGGGGGAGGAGCTGAGCTGGAACTGGAGCCAGGCAAAAAGGGAAGACCCCCACAGCTTGGGATCCAATTGTCCCTCAGCTCCAGGCCAACCTGTCCCAGCTGAGTGGCCTTCATTGAATTACCCCTCTGTTCTGTACCTCAGTTTCCTTTTCTGTTAAATAAACACACTGAGTGCCACTAACAAGGCTTCATGGGGGCACAGATGAGCAAATGCCTTCCATGTGTGTGGCCCAGAGTGAAAAATTAATAAAGATAAATGTGTTTTCAGAGTTAAAGTGCCCTTTGGTCTTGGCCTTCGTGACTTTTCTGGAGTTGAGGGGCCATCCTCTCCTCCAGAAAAGGGGTCTCTAGATTTTCCTGGGGACTGTTCCAAAGCTAGCCTTTTGCCCCCACTGGGCTATGGGTGTCTGCAGAAATGATGGAGTTTGGCACAATGGAAAGCACCCAGACTCGGGAGTCCGTGTGGCTGCCTCAGAACTCACACAATTTCAGCTCTTCTCCAAAATGAGTTATTAATGCATAGCCTGGGGGGGGTTCACTGTGAGCACTGACAAGCTCCTGGCAGTACCAGGGCTAGCCAGCCAAAAAAAGGCCACATACAAGTGAATCATCGTTATTAGGGAGTGCTCAATAAATGCCTGTGTGAAATGAAGCCAAGGGGACCCTCCCTGGGTGTACCTTAACCTTCACTGTCCCTGCCAGACACAAGCCCAATGCCCCTCTGTAGTGCTAGGATACACTCCAGCTTCCCCAGAGGCATTTCCAACAGAGGCCTGGGACACAGAGGGCATACAAGGCTATATGCCTGGCCCCAAGCCAACAGCAGCATTTCATGTCACCAACCTGCATTCCTTGTCTCCAGCAGGGCAGTGGGTGCCCTGGTCTAGAAAAGCCAGGTGGCTTGTCTAGGTTCCAAGACAGAGTAGGGCTAAGATCCAGTCCCCAGATACAGCCCCAGCAAGGCAGCACACAGTCGTGGGCTGATACAAGGGTGTCCCTTTCCACAGAAACAAACTGCCTAGGATCTCAGAATCAGCTGCCTGAGGACAGGGCAAAAGAGGGAGTTGGGAACCAGGGGACAGATAGAGCAAGCTGAAAGGGACAGGAACAGGATCCAGGATCTGTGTCGCTAGCAATATCCTGTACCTGGACATTTTGACACTAGACTCCTACCTTCATCACTATAGTTCCACCCACATACCTGCCAACCCAGACAGGCTGGAGGAGCAAGGCCTGAGCCAGAGAGATGAGCCACAGGTGTTTGCTCTACACTGTGCCCAGGGAAGTCCTTCTGCCCTGCCCAGCCTGCCTATCCACCCCAGCACTCTCTCTTGGCTCATTGGCTCAGAAAGCCCCACCCTGCTGGGAAGCAATGAACAAAAGCTGCCTCCAGGAGGCCCTGGGGCAGACAGACAAGCCGGCTCCGGAGAGTGAGGACCCACGGGGACCCAAAAAGGGTGAGGACCAAATAGAACTGGAGACAGCTGGGGGAAAGGTCCCAGGAAACCTAGGCCTGAGGACTTAGCTTCACAGAGGGGAGCAAAGGAGGGCAGGGTCCCTGAGGGGAGGAAATGTTGCGTTATACTAAAGGGAGGCCAGAGGATGAGAGAAGAATCGAGAAGAGACTGGGAAGGGTCAGGCTACCGCTGGGTTTCAGCAGCATCCGTTGAGAGTTCATGGGATCTGACAAAAAGCTGGGTCCCAGGAGATGGATGTACAGTTTGGCTCCCAGCCCCTAGTGATTTAACAAGGAAGATGTTTGACTGGGCTGCTGGAATAGATGTGATATGCCCTGCAGCGGAGGATGGAGGGGGCTCAGCATGTGTCCCAGGGATTCAGAATCCAGGAGCTGAGTCAGGGATGGTGCAAGGAGGGCTTCAGATGGAACATCATAGGAACTCCAGCCTAGGGGATAGCAAAGTTGGGGTACACAGGACATGCCTGTATGAAAATAATGAGAGATGTGACTATCAGACAGTCACTAATTAGGCAGTCAGAGAAGAGGGGTGTACCTGGGAAGAAAGATGAATGGTAGGGCAAAGACCACGCCAGGATCCAGCCCCTGCCTCCTCCCCACTCTTGTACACACACACACACACACACACACACACACACACACACACACACACACGGTCAGTTGGAATTCCAAAGGGACCCACTGTGGTCCAGATTTCAAGACAATGAAAAAGATGAATAAATAAGTATGACAATCTGCTCCGCTCTGACATGGCAGGGAGGGAACAATGCCAAGCCACCGCGATTGCCAAAGAGCCTCTGTGTAGTTTGGGAAGGCATGTGGCAGAAAGTTCCCAGAGGCACAAACGAGTGAGGATGGAGACTGTTCTGAGATACATACCACAGGGCTAGACTGGGCATTCCCAACACAGCGCTCTGCCCGTGCTGGGTCCAGGAAAACTTCAATGAATTTGACACCCAATAAAGGCTTACCTACCCTGTGCCTTCTTGCCCTCATCCGGTCCCCAAAGCTAATGGGAGAGTAAACTACCTGATGCTACAAGTCTCTGGGCCACTATGACTGAGGTGTGGGATCAAAGGGGATGGCTGACACATGCATGAGTGATTACTTATATCCCATGTGCTCGTTTCTTTGTAGAAGGAAAGAGACTTTTGGAGTCTGAAGACCAGGGTTCAAGACCATCCGTGCTACTTGCTCTTGTGAGATCTTGGGCAGGTACCTCTCACCTCTCAGCCTTAACACACTTTCCTGTGAAATGGGGACTGTGGTCATCCCTTCTCTGAGTCACTGAGAGTGAGGACACAATGGCCCAGTGGTTGTTGTGAAAGAGTTCTGGCCTTGACACCATCTATAAGGACACCCATTTGTGGGTTCTACCAGGCCTTGTGACTCCCAGGGCCTGAGAGGTTAGCATACTAGTGCATACACGTCCACGTGAGGCACTGAGGACACAGCCAGCATGAACTGGGGGTTTCTACAAGGGATCTTGAGCGGTGTGAACAAGTACTCCACTGCACTGGGCCGCATCTGGCTGTCGGTGGTCTTTATCTTCCGAGTGCTGGTGTACGTGGTGGCAGCAGAAGAGGTGTGGGACGATGAACAAAAGGACTTCATCTGTAACACCAAGCAGCCAGGCTGCCCCAACGTCTGCTATGACGAGTTCTTCCCGGTGTCCCATGTGCGTCTCTGGGCCCTGCAGCTCATCCTGGTCACCTGTCCTTCCCTGCTTGTAGTCATGCATGTGGCCTACCGAGAAGACCGGGAACGCAGACACCGCCGCAAACATGGACCCAACGCCCCAGCCCTGTACAGCAACCTGAGCAAGAAGAGGGGCGGCCTGTGGTGGACATACCTGCTGAGTCTCATCTTCAAGGCTGCCGTGGACTCGGGTTTTCTCTATATCTTCCACCGCATCTACAAGGACTATGACATGCCACGAGTGGTAGCTTGCTCTGTGGATCCCTGCCCCCACACCGTGAACTGTTACATCTCCCGACCCACGGAGAAGAAGGTCTTCACCTACTTCATGGTAGTCACAGCAGCCATCTGCATCCTACTCAACCTCAGTGAGGTCGCCTACCTGGTGGGCAAGAGATGCATGGAGGTCTTCCGTCCCCGGCGCCGGAAAACTCGGAAGTCACATCTACCAGATACATGCCCACCATATGTGATCTCCCAAGGAGGCCACCCCCAAGATGAAAATGATGGCCTAACAAAGGTCGGGATAGCCACAGTGGATGCAGGTGTGTATCCGTGACCTGCAGGTAGGCTTACCTGGTCACTGCCTGGTCACTAAAGCCACCCAAGAAAATGGTCAGGTGGGAAATATGGCTAGTGGAAGATGGGAAACACCCTCGGGTCCCTAAATCCTGAGCCTCCTGGGACTTGATGGCTGGGTGGGGATTTTATATTTGTCAATAGAGTACCTCAACCCCCTTAATAAATATGATGTTCCCAGTGCTTTGTAGACAGGTTGTGTGTGGTGGGTGGGGAAGCATGAGAGTGGTGCCTCAGGTAGGCCTCTTGGAGGAAGCCAAGCCACTAAGTGATCATCTGAACCCCAGCCTCACACCACACACACACACACACACACACACACACACACACACACACACACACCTGCCACCAGGACATGAGAAGAACAGCAAAGACAGGGCCTATACCAGGGGCCTCGCAGCTCTGCAGCAAGCTCTCCAAGACAGGAAGACAGGGAGCAATGGAGATCCTGCTCTGGTCCTCAGAGAGTGTAAATCCATCCATACATCGTGTGTGGCTCAAGAGGCCTTTGCCTTCCATTTCCTGACCTCCCTAACCCTGCCTAATGCAGGCCCCATGTAGGGAGCACCTGTGGGGGGGGGAGAATACTGCTGAGAGCAAGTGAAAGATGGAGTCTCCCAAGGATACAGAGCACATGCCACAGCCCGTCAATCCTCCACCCATAGACTTCCCTGGGCTACCTCAGCCTCCCCTTCCTATAACCACACACACCTTGACAGTCCCATGAACATCTATCATGGACCTGCCTCTGGGTCCACAATTGGCTTTGCCTTCCTCCCCTATGCTGCCCTCCTCACAGAGACCCTGCCCCACTTGTGAAGGGCACTACCATTATCTAGCTGTCCAAACCAGGAGCTGGCCCATGACCCTCACTCAACCCCTTCCCTCCATCAGCCCCTCCATCAGGCCCACATCCCAGAACAGCACCACAGAGCACTGATTCCAACCTCTGAGGGCCTCCTAAGTCAGCTCCTAGCCTTCCATCAGTCCTCCCACGGGGCCTTCAGATCTACCCTCCACACCTGAATGGAATGATTACTCAGTCCGTGAATGTGGCCATGCCTTTCCTTCAGCTTTAACATTTCTTTTAGCACACCCACCCCTAACCCCATTGCCCCCAAGCTGGCTCTACTGACCTCCCTACTCCTCCATGGCTTCCTCCCTCAGTTTGCTACTGATAACACCTAGGCATTCGTGATGCTATAATTGTATCTCCAACCTTAGCCATACTGATCCCTCTGCTTGGAATGCCCCTCCTGCCTCCTCTGCCAGTGTCCTCAACACTCAAGGACAGCCTTCACCACCACTCTGTATGTCAGAAAAGCTGAGGCCTCTCTCCTGTCACTCTCCCTGGGCTGGAATCGCTGATACCCGAGAGTGATACCCATCAGCCTGTGAGCCCTTTAAGGACAGGATGCTGAGTCACCAGGCCCTTGCAGCCTTCAATAAATGTTTGTTAAATGAGTAAATGGGCTGGAGCCTCTTGGAGAAAAACTGTGTCTTGTTTATCTGAACCCTCTTGCCACACCTAACCTGGGAAATTAGTGAAGTGGTTTTACCTTCTTGGCTTCTAGTTTAAACATCTTTCTTAAAGGTGGGAAAAACCTCCAAGCCCACTGGATAGCCTCTATGCTTTATCCTGATTGGGGACAAGATCAGAGAGTCACCTGTCTAAGGTCAAGTTCCCTGGAAGCAGAGCTAGAGACAAAAATTTGGCACCTGTGATGGATGGAGTAGGGAAGCAAGGCAGGAGGGCTTGAGCTAAGTTGGGTATGCACCCAGGAACCTAGCATTTGCCAGATTTGGAAGAAAGGATCATAAATGTCACCACAGAGTGGTCCCACTTGGATACACAGTACTGATCCTTTGAACTCTCCTACAAGTCATTGATTTGACCTGACCCTGGTATTAGTAGGAAGCTTTGGTTCAGTCAACATCATTTCTCCAGGAGCTGGTAACTTGGAACATAGGGATTGGTATTGGGACAACACTACCTCCTGAAACTTCTGACTCTAGGAGACAAGGGTGGCTCTCAACCCTCATCAGCCCAAGCACTCTCAATAGAACCAAATGGCCCTACACTGTCGAGGCCAAGACAGCTACCAAGTCCAGAACAGGGCACAATTCCCCAAGGAGTCTAGAAGCCCACTCCAGGAGTGGCTGTTGGGTCTAGCATATCATGAGCTCACTTTATGACCTGACCATTCTCATATATCCTCACATTCCAGAGATCTCACGCCCTAAAATATTAGCCAAGTGGAGACCAACTATTGTCTGACCAGCCAAGGCCTCCAAAGGTGACTGAGATGAATCCTGTAGGCCGCTCCCTAGCCGCTAAGATGCCTTATCCTGTGTCTCCCACATCCTCAAGCACCCCTACTGCTCTTGCCTCCTCCACTCAAACCTCCACCTTCTTGAGAAATCCCCATGTGTTTCCCTTCTGTCTTCCTCTTGCTCACTCTTTCCTGTTCCCGTCGCTGCTACCTACTTCTCACTCATTCAAGACTGAGCCCATGGCCAGGGATCTTCTCTTCCCAGCCCTTGTCAAATGACCTAGGACCACATGGACCACTTGTGTTTCACTCTGCCCTCTTCGTTCCATGACTTCTTTGAACTCTGAGATACCCAGCTTCCCACTCAGAAGGTGCCAGACCTTGTCAACACCCACAGCTGTTTCACCCTTAGAAACTCCCCTTGAATGCAAGTCCACAGATACTGACAACTTAGTTTTATGTCGAATCTCCATGCTAGAGTCTGGGAAGAATCAAACATACTCCCTGGGTTCACACGGCTTACATCCTAGAGAAACGATGCCTAATGACTTGGGAAGCATGCGGCACTGAGAGGCAGCAGAGGAGGACCTGGCATGCAGGCATCCAGGATAGGGATCCCTGGGACCTCTCAATGACACTTGGAGAAAGCAAGGGTTTTGCCAAGTGCTGGAGAATTGGACTTTGGATGGAGAAGAATAGCATTTATAAATCAAGAGAGGGCAAAACTGATGGTTGGAAAAAAAAAAAAGATGGCTGAGTCAGCTGAAGGGCTAGTGTTTGGAGTGAGGCTGAGACGGACCAGGAAAGATCATGTAATGTGCTCTTTGCAAATCCCTGTTAGTGATTTTGGCCTTCATCCTAAAAACAAGACCAAGTCCTGGAAAGATTTATCTCAGGGGTGACGCCTGTGGTTGCAGTGTGGAGCGACTGAAGCAGGGCTACCAATTTGGAGTGTGATGCAATGGTCTGGGAAACCACAATGAACTGAACTGGGCAGGGTGTGTTCCATGGGCATGGAAGGAAAGATCTGGGTTTTACAAGATAGAATCAGAAAGATCTGCTGATTTGGTTGGGTGTGGGGACCAAGCACGAAGAAGAATCAAAGTGACACTAAGGTTTCTGCCTCTGAATTGCAATGCCATTTAGTGAGTTCAGAGCCCCAATAGATATGCAGGTTTGACAGAGCCGAGATGACTTCCATTTCAGACATGTTACATTTGAGATACAAATAAGAAACCTGGTTATTCCCCATCCTTCCAGGGCCACTGTGACCCCTAGCACCCTGTCCTTCTCCCAGAGCATTTGTTACGGTTCTTGGTGTCTTCACAACTAAAACATCTAGACTCTCAGTTCTTTGACCTCCTTGCTTCCTACAAGTTTCCCCACCACCACCAAATCTTACCTCCCACCCCTTGTCTGTACCAAGAGCAGTGTCATCCCCTTTCTTACTAGCTCACTCAATCTGGTTCTCATAGAGCAACCCCTCTTCCCCATCCCTTACCCACCCCTGCACTGCCCATTGCCCCTCTTCACAGCCTCCCTTCTTCCCTTCACAGCTTAGACTTCCCAGGCTCCTGTAATCACTGCCACCAAGTACTCCCCACCCCTTGCCTTTGTGTATGTCTCTCTAGCGCTTTGCCTGGCGAGACCTTCTCCAAGAGGCATCCGTTGCTGGGCCAGCTGAAGAATCTCACAACTGGACCAACTGATCTCAGTTTAAACATCTGACAGTGAAGCTCAAGCCAGGTACCCAGCAATTCTAAGCAAGGCTACATTTTCCTAAAACTTTACCCCAACTCTCCAAGATGACTAGAACATACCGTTTCCTTTCTCATCCTCCAGCTCTTAGTCTCCCAATCCTAGAGCTTGACTGACAGACAGCCATCCCATGTCCTTGAGAAGCAGGACCTGGAAGCAAATTCCAGTTCATCCTAACACATCCACCATCTTCTTAGCAAGCACACCCAGCCCCTCTGCCTTCTCCTCTGCAACGTGGATGAGCCTGGCACACCTTTTCCACCTGACCAGCAGACCCCATCACCTCATCTCTACTCCAGACTGAGCTCTCTCTCTTTCACAAATCCCTTTTCTGAAAATGTGCTATAACATTTTGCTTCTCTCCCCTTTTAACCTCTCAACACCACCTCCTTCTCCAGTTGCCTACCATTCATTAACAAAAAGCAAAGTCTTCTAAGAGCTTTGTGTGTTCGTCTCCTCTTTTTCATCCCAGTGGTCTCCAATACACCAATACCGGGGGTCAGTCTTTCCACCCCATCTCACTCCCTCAGCTGCGTTTGGCCATTGAGGGGCCCCTCCCTAAATTCCATCTTCAGTTGGCCTCCATGCAGCACCCTCCCCTCTATTCCCCCTAGCTCATGGGTCTCTATTCATCTCTGGAGGGGCTTCTTCTCCATCTTCTAAATCTCTAAATGTAAGATGCCCTGCAGCCCAGTTCTCCTCACTCTTTCCCTGCTGCACACCCTTTCTCCTCAGTTATCTCACTCGTTACCATCAATAAAACCATCTAAAGCCTACTGGTTTGTGTGTTCACAGCTAACTTCTTCCACAAGGGACACCTGCACATGTCCAGCTTCCTACTAATATGAAAACAGATTCCCATTTTCATCATCCTGCCCTCAATGGAAGATGGCCTCCTCACCTAGCTTCCTACCCAGTCAAAAACTCAAGCCTGGGAAGGTGGCTCAGTTGGTATGAGTGCTTTTTGTGAAAGTGTAAGGACTGAGTTCAAGCCCATCACCCACATAAAATCTGGGCATAGCTTCCCATGCCCATAACCCCAAGACTGGGGAGGGAGGAGGATTATTGGGACTTGCTGGCCCACAACCTAGTCCTGGATTCAATGAGAGACCCTGTCCCAAGGGAATTGGGTGAAGCATGATAGAACAGGGCACAGGAAGTCTTCTTTTGGCCTCCACACATCCATGTGTAAGTGCATACACATACACCATACACACATGGGCCACACCACATAGACACACACACACACACACACACACACACACACACACAAAGAAGGGGGAAAATTACCTAGGAGCCTCTTTCTTCATAATCACACCCACATCATTGGCAAGTCATATTGGCAGTAATTCCAAAATATATTCAAAACCCAATCACTTCCTGCTATCTCCAAGCCTTTTAATCCCAGGCCAAAACACACCAGTTTCAACATCTGGACCCATGCAGCAACTGGTCTCCCTGCCTCCACTCAGACAGTGACCCAAAAGACCTTCTGGCATGAGTCAGGTCTAAGTAACTCACTCTTTTGATTAAAATGATAGCTAAGGATGTAACTCTGTTGGTGGAGTGCTTGCCTAGATTCAATCCCCACTACCACATAAAACGGGTGTGGTTCTGAACACCTGTGAGATCATTCAGGGAGGTAGAAGGAGGATCAGAAGTTCAAGACTACCCTATCTCAAAACAATGGCAAGAGCCAAAGCTTTCATTAAAGCCATCTTCAAGCAGCTTCCCATCGTGGCCAAAACAATTAAGCCACATCAAACTCTTTGCCATAGTCTATAGGGCCCTGTAGGTGGGCCCTGAACTGCTCACTAAGCCCTTCATCCCTCCCCACCACTCTTGCTACTACACTAGCCAACCCATAGCCTCACCACCTCAGGATCTTTGCACCTGCTTTGTCCGACCTCTCCCTTCTCCTAGAACATTACACAGTCCTCAGCACCACTCACACGGCTCCATTCCAGAAGGCTCTCTCACACCCTCCCCAGAAGCACACACCATGGGTCACTCTATCAGATGACCTTCTTCTGTCTTCCTTGTAGCATTTAGCTGGCTTTGAGAAACTTTTGTTCTCATGGTGTCAGTGAGATGAGATCCTGGAGAACCCAGACTTGTTCACCCTTTGACTCGCCCCCGACTCCCATCACCTGGACTGGTCCTCCACATTTAGTAGCAACTCAATAAAAAGTGGGTCAGCTGACTGACTAAGCAGCATCCAGATAGAGCTGACTAAGTAGCCTATTGACAAAAAGGGGACAGGATTAGCCCAGAGGTGGAGATCTGGGAGGTGTCTTCAAAACTAGCTAAATGTAAAACAAGGTTTTGCTCCACAGTTGCTCGTCCATAGGAACTGGTTTTCTATAATGAAGTCTTTACAAAAAGTTCCTGCATTATAGGCCATGCTCCCAATTACTGCATTTTTAACAACAAACTATTCTTTGGGGGAAACTCATTGACCTAAAATGACCTCAATCAATGGCATTTGGGATCTCATGGAGGTCACTTGACAGATTCAGAAGGGAAAAAAATTGTAGGCAAAGACATTTAGCACAGATTTAATCATTATTCCTGAGGGTAGGACCTTACAATTGTCTTTGTAAGCACATTATTTTATTTTAAAAAATTATTCTGAAAAAAAGGAAGTGTTTCTGTCATAAAGAGGATACACCCTGGATATTTTTTCCTTAGATTATACAGTTAAGGCTTTGTAACAAAGAATGAAAATTTAAGCCACTTATACGGATTCGAAAATGACTGAGTCGTTGAGTGCAGTGGTTTACCCTTGTGATCCCAGTTCCATGAGACATGGCACTCTCTTCTGGCCTTTGTGGGCACCAGGTACCCATGTGGTACACATACAAGCATGCAAGTAAAACAAAAAAATAAATAAATAAATAGTATCTTTTAAATAGACCTATATAAAGAGAAAAAAGAATACCTCTTAATGTATCTTATACAATATATGGTTTTTAAAATATATAGCATGGACCAATAAGATGGTTAGATGGGAAAAGGGGGACTAGCTGCTGGTTCTGACTACTTGAATTTGATCTCTAAGACACACACAGTGGAAGGAGAAAACCGACCCTCTGACTTCCACACATGCACAGTGTCACACATACCTTCACATACACATAATAATAATAATAATAATAATAATAATAATAATAATAATAGTAATAATAATGTAAAATACAAAATTAAATGTATAGCAAACTTAATTAACAAAGTACATTTTCTTTGCACTCACACCAGAAGTTCATAAGTTCAAGTTAGCCTCAGTCTGTTTATAGACTCATCTTGCTGGGCATGGGAAGGATGGCTCCTCTGGGCCTCCGTGGTAATGGTGACTTGAGGCTGGTAAGATAGGTCTGTACAAAGACTGAGAGGAGGCATGAGAAAATGCTTGAGGTGGCTTCCGGTCCAAATGAAATGCAGGAAAGCCAGGTGAGAGTCATTGAACCAAGGGAAGATGATGTCACTAAGGAGGAAGAGAGGGCAGAGGAAACATAAGAGGAATTAGTCTGAAAGCAGAAAGCTATCACCAAACACTGCTGTGGGTTGAATTAAGTAAAGACTAAAGTGAACTCTGTGGAGTCACAGGATGGCCACTGAGACAGAGGCGGGAGTGTCATCCACACATGTGAGATGCTGGAACCATGCCCTGCTGTATACAGAGCTAAGCAAATGGAAATAGGTAGCATGAGCAATGAGCTGGAGAATGGTGGCTGCCAGGCTAGGAAAAGAAGGGGTGTTGGTTGCAAGAGAATGAGGGGTCATGGAAATGAAGCATCAGGGAAATGGGGAGGTCAGGGAAAGTTTTGTTTGGGTGGAGGAGATGAAAATAATCAATTTGCTATGGAAAGACTCCAGTAGAGGAAGGTCAAGCGCCTATAGCGAGCCCAAGAGAACGGGATCTGGAGCCCCACGGAGCTCAGAATTAGGCCAGAGACAGGTTAACTATGGCATGGGAAAAGGGAGAAATGGCAAGACAGGTACCGGCTGTGATGACAGATGCCCTAGCCCTCTCTCTTGTAGCTCATCCCTCATCCTCCCACAGCCTCATGGGTACTTGGAGCTCTCTCAGACTCCCAGACCTCCTCTGTTTTCTTCCTTCTGTGTCCTGCCTAGGCCGGAGCTCCAAGCATCATCAACATCGCCCTCATCTCACATGGGACTTGTCAACTGATGCTCACCGTCCCCCTAGAATGGCAGACCCTCGCAAGGCAGGAGCGGCACCCACCCCACACCGCACATACAGTAAGAGGATAATAAATTCTCACTGAGGTGATCACCACAAAGAATTTCTGCCCCACCCATATACCCACTCTTCTTCTGCCCCTCCTGCTTATGCGGAATTCCAGGCCCCTCAGTCCTACTGGACACACCCATCACTACCCCTTTGCTGGCTGTGCTGAAGCAACCCCCACAGTAGGAGGGAGGCCTTTGTGGACCCTTGCCCTTCAGCCCACCTGATCTCTGGTTGTTGGCCATGGTGGCAGCCTTCTCAGTTTCCCCACTCTCAAATTTTCTATCCCATTCCATGTATTTACATCCTGTTTTCCAGAAGTAGAAACCCTTCTTGCAACTGCCTCCAAGCCTACAGACCACCCCTGCCTTCCTCCATCCTTCCCCTGAGCACAGGGAAAGGGTTAGGCCTGCACCTTCTAATTGCCCAAGCTCCCCACCAGTGCTTTGGGTCCTTTCTCTGGACTCTTTGATCTCCTACCTCTGTCTGCCCATTCAAGTGTTCTCAAATCTTTCCCACCTCAGAAAGAAAGAAAGAAAGAAAGAAAGAAAGAAAGAAAGAAAGAAAGAGAGAGAGAGAAAGGAAGGAAGGAAGGAAGGAAGGGAAAAAGAGAGAGAGAAATGAAGGAAGGAAGGAAGGAAGGAAGGAAAGAAGGAAAGAAAGAAAGAAAAAAAGAAAGAAAGAAAGAAAGAAAGAAAGAAAGAAAGAAAGAAAGAAAGAAAGAAAGAAAGACAGGCCCTTCCTTGACCCCATATCCCCTATAGCCACCTCTCTACATTTTCTGGCTTTCACAACCATTCATCCTTCCTCTCCTCCCACTCCCTCCCTCACCTACTACCCGTGATCCATCTCCGCTCCATCACGTCTGTCAACCACCCTGCCAATGCCAGTTGCACCTATTATTTGTCACTCAGCCCAGTGCAAGCTCTGCAGGCCCTGTCTTGCATGGTGGAGCATTTAAGAATACATGGCCTTTCTTCTGGAAATTCTTGTTCATGCCTTGGGCTTTCATTGTTCTATCCACCCAGTCCTGTTCCTGTTCCTGTCCCTTTAAACTGGGGCTCGAAAGGGCACACCTAGCCACACATCCTGGCTCCTTGTTGTCAGATGAAGCCAATCAGATTTCGGTTGTGTTTTCAATGGTATCTAAGAAAAGCTTGTAATGGCAAGACTTGGGGAGATGGTAGAAAAGCTACTGTGTTGAAAAGCCTCATGAAAAATCTCCCGGTAATGAGAGGTGAGAGCCAAGAGTCGTAGAGGAGCAGAGGCCAGCAGCAAGCAGAAGAGAGATCCAAGACACTCTCCAGACCTGACTCAGCTACCACTGTGACCTCACGGTACCCTGCCCTCCCTGTGCTCCAACAAGCCAATAAATTCTCCTTCATGCAAAACACATCTAAGTTGTATCTGTCGTTTGTGGTTAAGAGTCTTGACTTGGGGGCTAGAAGGATGGCTCAGTAATTAAGAGCACCCCTTGCTGCTCTTGCAGAGAACCTGATTTCAGTTCTGAGCACCCACATTAGACAGTCCACAACCACCTGCAGTTCCAGCTCAAGGGAGCTGATGCCCTTTTCCATCCTCTTATAGGCACATATATACACATGCTCCCTCCCTCTCTCTCTCTCTCTCTCTCTCTCTCTCTCTCTCTCCTTTTGGTTTTTTGAGACAGGATTTCTCTGTGGCTTTGGAGCCTGTCCTGGAACTCAATCTTGTAGACCACTCTCTCTCTCTCACACACACACACATGCAAGCAAATAAATAAATACTAAAATAATGCTTTTTTAAAGTCCTGACTAAGGCTGGGAATTGTAGCTCAGTTGGTAGAGTACTTGCCTGGCATGCACAGAGCTCTGAGTTCAATCCTCACCACCAAGTAAACCCAGCACAGTTTTGGACAACTGTAATCTCAGCATTTAGAAGAAGATGGAGGCAGAAAAATTAGGGGTTTAAGACCACTCTCAATTACATATTGAGTTCAAGGACAACCTGGGATACATAAGACCCTGTAATGAAAAGCTGAGTTGGGGAGATGGCTCATTAAGTAAGACCGCTTGCTTGAGTTTGGGTCCCAGCACCCACATAAACCCAGGTATGAAGTAATGGGCCACTAAATTAAACCCTCAATGCCAAATGTGAGATATTTCCATAGGAGTTGTTGGTCAGGGAGAACCCCAAAGCCTCCAGTGGCTTGCCCCCTAGAGCTCTGGTTTATTGCTTATTTTGATAAGGCCCTATTTCTGAAGTTATGTAAGGTACAAGATACAGAGAAATCAAACTGGAACTGAGCTGGAAGCTTCCAGCTGCTGCCCAGCTTTCACAGTGCCGGGAAGTGGTGCTCTGTGGGATGCTGGGGGTTGTAATAAAGCTGTGAAACTCCATGAGATACACCCACGTGCCAAGCAAGATGTGCCCACCGCTGCAACAGCCAGATGAGTGCTGTAGGGGTAACCGGCCACTTCCATGACTGGATTTGAGGCCCACTCCAGAAAAAGAAATCTATGCCCAGTACTGTAAACCCAGTCGAAAGTCCATGACTACAAAGGTCTTAGGCCCTAGGAAGGAACCTACCATTTCTTCCTAGCCTAAATTGCCATAATATCAGACCATCTTTTAAATGTCCATGATTGTGCCCACAACAAAGGCTGGTCTCAGCTTTACTCAGAAAACCCTCTCTGTGCAGTGAGTGGAGGTGAATGCAGTAACCCATGGCTGCACAAGATGCTGAGAATGAGGAATGGTTGAGGGCTCCACCCTAAACAAGACATTTAAAACATCCCCTTAAGGCTCAGGAAGCTCTACAGAAGACAGACCAGAGAGAATGTAAGAGCTGGAAAACAGGAAGAAAACAGCATGATCTGGCTATGACAACAATGATGAACTCAAAATAGCCATGCCTACCAGACCTTGACCTACACAAATCAGGCCTACTCAACAGTCAGCCATGGCTGGGAAGGCGCCCACAGAGCGCTACCATTTACTGTTAATCTATTGATCTATATGACCCACTGGTCTGTTTAGGAGAAGGAGAGACATGGCATCTAGTTGTGTACCCACTGAGAAGCCCTCCAGGTCTAAGGAATAGTTCCAAACCCAAGGGCACACAGATGGCCCTAATCAAACTCTGTGGGACACAAAATAGAACAAAAAGTCATGAATATGGAAAAGAGATTTGTAGGGAAGGAAGGAGAAGGGACTGGAAAGGGTAGGAGGGAGATAGGAGAAGCTATGAGGTGAGAGTGGTGAGAATACATTACATACATGTACTATGTTTATGTGTCTAAGTATACATGAAATTGTTAAAGACCAAAATTATTAATAAAAACAATAATAAAAAAACAGGCATGGGCCCTGGAGAGATGGCTCAGTGGCTAAGACCACAAGTTTGTCTTCCCAAAGACCTGAGTTCAGTTCCCAGCACCCATGTTGGGACTCCCATAACCACATGTTACTCCAGCTGCAGAGGAATCCATCATCTCTGGCCTCTAACAGACTGCATTCAAGTGTTCAAGCCCACTCACAGATACACACATAATTAAAATAAAATGGAACCTTTTATTATTAAAAATAAGCATGGTTGGGCTGGAGAGATGGCTCAGAGGTTAAGAGCACCGACTGCTCTTCCAGGGGTCCTGAGTTCAATTCCCAGTAACCACATGGGGCTCACAACCATCTGTTATGAGATCTAGTGCCCTCTTCTGGTGTGCAGATATACATGGAAGCAGAATGTTGTATACATAATAAATAAATAAAATATTAAAAAGAATAAGTATGCCGGGCGTTGGTGGCGCACGCCTTTAATCCCAGCACTAGGGCGGCAGAGGCAGGCGATCTCTGTGAGTTCGAGACCAGCCTGGTCTACAAGAGCTAGTTCCAGGACAGCTTCCAAAGACACGGAAACCCTGTCTCAAAAAACAAAAAACAAAAAAAAAAAAAAGCATAAGCATGGTCAGGCATGCACTTATAACCCTTGATGAATCCCTGGGGCTTGCTGGCCACCAGCCTAGCTCTAGGTAGAGAAGAAACACTATCTCAAGGGACTAAGGCAGAGAACGATGGAGCAGGACAACTCACACACACACACACACACACACACACACACACACACACACGTGCGCGCGCGTGCGCACACACACGTCAGTACCTAGGCTTCCTTCTGGGACCTCACTCATCCACCTCTAGCACTTGCTCTGCATCTCCACAGACTCACGCTGAACAGGTAAAGGCTCTGAGTTCTGTCCCTGGTCCCTGGGTAATGCTGTCCTCTCCTGTGAGCTTGATTTCCTGACTTTCATCAGGACACTTGACTCTCAAAACTATATTTCCATCTCTACATTTTGAATTTCATTTTGATAGAATATGCATAATATAAAAACTATCTTCTTGACTATTTTAGGCACATCATTTAGTTCCATTAATTACATTCCCAATGCCGTGCAGTCATCACCACTAATTAACTCCAAAAAATTTCATCACGCCTAACAGAAGCTCTGTACCCACTAAGCACTAAGGTCCCATTCACCCCTCAACCCATTCACTGGTCACCTCTGATCTAGTTCCTATGTCTATAGGCTTGCCTACACTTGACATTTCATAAAAGTAGGGCCACACAATATGTATCCTTTGACAGGTCCATTTGACTTAGGGCCTAAGTCTCAGACAATGCCTTCAAGATTCATCCACACTGTAGCCCATATCAAAACCCTGTTCCCTTTGCACTATTGGATAAAATTATATTGTAAACCAGCAGTGGTAGCTCAAACCTGTAATCCTAGCACTCAAGAGGCTGGAGCAAGACAATTACCCTCTGTTCCAGATCAGCCTGGGTTATACAATGAGATCCAGTTTCAAAAAAAAAAAAATTCATTGCCTGTTTATACCAAATTTTGTTTCTTTTCTCATTTACCCATTGGTATACATTTGGGTCATTTTCACTGTTTGGCTATCATGTGCATCATTGTTGTGGAGATTCCCATACAAGGGTTGGTTTGCATCCCTGGGTTCCATCCTCTGGGGCAAATACCTAGAAGTGGATTTGCCGGATCATGTGGGAAGCCTGTTTATCTTTGGAGATGCTGCCAAACTGTCTTCCACAAACACTACACCATTTTATATTTCCACCAGCAACGCAGGAGGGCTCCAGGTCTCCATTTTCCCACCCAGAGGCTTGACCCACCCCGTAGTTGCCTCTGAATGTTCCCACACAGGTGTCCTGCAGGGAGTTCAGACCCAGAAGCAGCAAAGGAAGATTTGGCTGTATTGAAAACAGCCAGTCTTGAGCCAAGTCCCATGCCTGATGTGGATGGCTGGGATTAAGGGTGACTTGGGATGCATGTAGGATTGGGGTGAAGTGCCTATTGTGTGCTTGCATCATTATACGAAGGGATCTTTTCAAGGCTATATCAGAACATCCCAGTGCCCTATTCAAACAGCTGTACCACGCCTGCCCTTGAGCAGCATGTGCCCTTACCCGTGAAGCCACCTCCCTAGCCTCCAACACTACACAGCTTTTTAATACAAGCATGGTTCTATGCCCCATCTGAAATTCATATTTAGTTTGATGTCTTGATTTTTACCTGT